GGAGTTGCCATGGGTATTACGGGCAGTGATGTGAGTAAGCAGGCGGCAGACATGATTTTGTTGGACGATAATTTTGCATCCATCGTGACGGGTGTGGAGGAGGGGCGTATAATTTTCGACAACTTGAAGAAGTCCATTGCCTACACTCTCACCTCCAACATTCCGGAGATAACGCCCTTCCTCATCTTCATTTTGGCCGATGTGCCATTGCCATTGGGCACCATAACAATTTTGTGCATCGATTTGGGCACAGACATGGTGCCGGCCATATCACTGGCCTACGAGGAGGCGGAGAGCGATATCATGAAGCGCATGCCGCGTGATCCCTTCCGTGACAAGTTGGTGAACGAGCGTCTCATCTCCATGGCGTACGGTCAGATTGGCATGATTCAGGCATCGGGCGGTTTCTTTGTCTACTTTGTCATAATGGCAGAGAACGGATTTTGGCCGAGTCGCCTGCTGGGTCTGCGCAAACAGTGGGACTCGCCGGCCATCAATGATGTGGCTGACTCCTACGGTCAGGAGTGGACGTACACGCAGCGCAAGCGTCTTGAGTACACCTGTCACACGGCCTTTTTCGCCTCTATCGTCATTGTGCAGTGGACGGATTTGCTCATCTGCAAGACTCGAAAGAACTCAATTTACCAGCAGGGCATGTGGAACCACCACCTCACGTTTGGTCTCTTCTTTGAGACCACACTGGCCATATTCCTGTCGTACTGTCCGGGTCTTGAGCACGGTCTGCGGATGATGCCACTTCGGTGAGTGTTGGAGTGTTGTTTTGGTGCCAATCTGTGTCAACGTCGTGGCTATTTACCTTCCTCCCTTCCTCCCTCTCTGCTTCCTTTCTTTCCTGCTATGCAGATGGACGTGGTGGTTGCCGGCTCTGCCCTTCAGTGTGTCGATATTTGTATTTGATGAGGTGCGAAAGAAGCTTCTTCGGACTCTGCCGCCAGGCAATTGGGTGGAACGGGAGACGTACTACTAGTAGCTGTCTGCGAGGAGAACAAAGAAGGAAGGAGTCACAAGTGCAACTTGCGCTGCCCTTTGCCTGCTCTTTTACCACCCCGTCCCCTAGTGTGCTCACCCTTTTCCAAAGCGAACGATTACTATCGTTATGTAGCCTTCACAAATTTGTACACAACTGAGCCCCACCTTCCTATTTGCCTGTCAGTCGTCTGTGTGTCTGTGTGTGTGCGTGTG